TTTAATTTTTTGTTTTGTCGTTAGTTTATAAAATATTAATTTTAATCATTAGTATTATTCAATTATAATTATAAACTATTGTTTTTGTATAATTAACTATATTTATAGTACATGATTAACAATAGTATTAACTAATAAGAATAATAACTATAAAATAATGTTATTTTTAAATGGAAAAAATAACATTATTTTAATGTAATATATATAAGGGTCATTTAAAGTTATTGTTTATTGGCAATTAGTAAAAGATTTCAGTAAAACATCTATTTGAACAACGTGAAAAACATTTTAAAATAAGAATTATTTTATAATAACATAAATCACCACAATGTTACACCTATATTAAAATCATGCCTCGGAAAAATTTGTTTTTTTGCACTAAAATATTTTTTGGCAAATTAAAATAAAACTCACCTCATGGTTACTCCCTATTATAGAACAATAGTAAAAACGTCTAGTATTTAAACTATTAACTACTGGTTAATTGTTATAGTATATACATGATATAATAAATTATACAAATTTATTATAACAATATAATAAAATTAACGATATCTTAACTAATGTTTAATTTACGACAATGAATTTATGTATTAAATTATGTAATAAATAATATATTAAGAAATAGTACATTTTGTCAAAACATTCAAATAACATTTTCTAAAAACAAATATTTACATTTATATAAACTATATAAAAAATTAATAACAACGAAATATTAATAGTAAAATAAAGTCACAAATAAACCCAAACAACAATTAAACTATTAATAAATTATTATTAATCTATAAATTAATAATTTAAATTCATTTTGAACATAATTTTTTAAATAAAATTAACAAAAAAACTAAAAGTATAATAAATTTAATCATTTTGATATAATTGAATAATATACAAATTCAAATAAAATAGTGTTAAATAAATTAGAATAGTATAATAAAATAGTAATTAGAACCAATCATTTAATTATAATAAACTGTATGCCAAAAGTCGGTACTTTACCAATTATTAGTGGAAACCCTTTTATAATAAATTCCCGTTTTTTAAAGTTTTTTTGTTGTTTTCATTTATAATTTCCATTTGAAAAAAAGAAAAAACAGTACCGACTTTTTAACCCTCAAAACCAATACAGTTATAAATTTCAATTAAAATTTCGGGATTTTAACAAAAAATTAGAACAAACTTGTCCGATTTTCTGAGACTGTTATTCAGTCTTTTTCACTGTTGAGATTCTCAAAAAATCGGCATTTTTGCCTTTTGGTAATGGACGAGTAGTTTGAATGGGTGAGATAACCGTATTTTACCTCTCACATTACGACTCTCCCCCACTTCAAAATACACAATAAATCGTTCTAACTTGTTGTTATTTTATGGTTGTCTTTTTAAAAAAAACAAACTTTGAAACACTACACATATTAAATGGTTATTTTTATTTTCAATAATCTTTTCTTTGTGTTGTAAGTGTTAATGAAATTGAAAGATTTTTATTATTTGTTGGATCATTAACATTTTCTTTTGAAAAGAGAAAAAGTCGGTTTTACTCACGGCAAAAACAACCATATGGTCAAGCAAAATTTTTGAAGAAGTAAGTTATTTGATATTTTCCTTGTTATTTTTTATTTAATTTTTTAGCTTGGTCTAAATTCAAGGTTCAGTCAAGTTTGTTTTTTAAAAAATAAGAGGGAAAAAAATAAGCAAAAAAACGATGTCAAACAAAATGAAAAATATTTGGAATCATTTACTTCAAAAAGTCGGGTCCTTTCGGTACCGACTTTTGAAAAACAGTTTAGTTACCATTATAACAATTAAATTTTATTTATACTTTAGTTTATGTGAACATTTTTGACATGTATTATATTATTTATTTAATTTGTATTTATATACATTTTATAACAAATTATAATATTTTTTATTAACAATTTTAATTATTAATTATTGACGTGAAGAAAAACGTTTTAAACCAAACACACCTTAAGAACACTTCAATTATTTTATTACTGTGTTTTCATTGTGTTATTAAATGAATTACTATTTAAAAATAACATTATGGGATTTTATTTTTATTTATTATTAAAATTAATAATAACTTAACTATAAGTTTGTAACAATAATTGTTATAATTAATTATTTTATATTTTTATAGTTTAATTAAATAATAATTTATTATAAAATTATTATAGTTTTATTTAATAAAATATCTTTAATAACTTATTAAATTATTATTTTGTTATCAATTTAATAATTGAAATTTCATCAAACATGCAACAAAAATTTGTTATTAATAACCCGTTTTTATTAATAATACAGCTACGACTATTAACACAATAGTCGTAGCTGTATTATTTGTATGTGGTATTTTAGAGTATATATTTGCTTTATAATTGTAGACTAAAAACTGTTTATGTAATTTCTTGAAACATACACTTGTAATTGATATGTGATTTTTTAAACTTATAATCTTAATGACTATTGTGGATGCAAACAATGACATTGATCCTCTTTTACAAGTAATATTATGGAATATCTGTCAAAAATATATTAAAAACATTGTATTAAATATATCGTTACAAAAAGGCATAATCTGAAAATAATCAATAACTGAATTACCAATAACATGAAACCAAAAAAGAAAAGATGAGACAGTTCAGAAATGAAAATTCTCAGTATCATGTAAGCCCGATTAAATAGTTTGACGTAACATAATTGAATTCCAGGTGTTGTTGTAATATATAAAATAAAATAACAAAATAAAAGTAATTTCTTGACTGTTGGTTGCATTTTTTCTTTCTTTTTAAAACATTCGAGTTGTTACAAGTTTTATAAAATTTCATACATCTAAAAGTTATTGTAGTTGATAAACAAAAAATTAATTTATTAATAAATTAAACAGGCACATCAGATATCAATTATCAATTTCAAAACAATCACATCATTTATATTTTCTTTATTGTTTTATAAAATCCAATAATTAATATTTAATCAATAATGGTTTATAACCTATTTGTAGTCGAGGTATTCGGTTTACATAATATACTTATTAATACAGATATTCACATTTTCAATAATAAAAATTTGTTGTAAAAATAAATCATATTAATTATATTCGAATCTAACAGTTTATGTTTGATGCCAAACTTTTAACAACAAAAAAGTTTGCAAGTTTTATATTTATATAATTT